GCATGCTGATTACATGCACACGAGTACATGAATGAAGGCCTAATATTGATATACGTAGCTTGCATACCTAAATAAAAAATAAACTCTTCTAATCCCCTAATGTAAACACGGCGGTATACGTAGCCCGATTTATCGGGGACTTTAAGTAGTTCATGTAATTATGAAATATTTCAATAATTGCACAATCCTCAATTAGGCCATCATCAAAAATAATAATGTTGAAATCATCTTGGTGCGAGATAAACAGAGGATAGTAACATCATTTCATGGCAATCTTTGAGTTATATTATTGCTCAGACTGACAGACGATTTGACAAATGGATGGCTATAGTCGTGCTTCATTGGAAGAAATAACATCGTAGCAAAGTCGAGTTCTACGATTTTGTCACACTCATCAGTCATCAATATTAAGTACGTCATATTAAGCTGACAGAGGATGATAAAATTACCAATTTAAATATGGTCGGCCTAATTTCAATCAAACAATATTATCAAGAACTTCAAATTAATCAATCGTTTAATGAAAAATGATGCTAGTCCTCCGTCTATTTCCTGTACAGTCAGTTACTAGAATTATGATGGCCCTCTAATCATGCTAATCGGAACCTGACTTACAGTGGCCAGTGGGTCTTTTCTAAGTCTAGCATTAACATGACAAAATGTCAACACCGAGTTGCTCACAATATTATCAGTTCAATCTCAAGTCAGACTTGAATTTCTGAGAACTTTGAGAAGATCAATGGTCAAATATTTTTTGACATTGAGAATGTCATTGAATGTCAAATCTATAGTCACATTTGAACTTTTGAGAACTTCTGGATGATATTGAAAAAATACCTTTTTTGGAGTATTTATTTTATTTCAGTTTAACTTCTTACATTTAACATTTTAACCTTTTTGACCTTAGAGAAGATCAAATCTCAAGTCAGATTTGAAGATCTGATAACTTGTAGATGATTTTGGAGAAAAAAAATGGTCAATTTGAAAAGACCTTTTTGACCTTGAAAGGCTCACCGAAGGTCAAATCTTAAGTATAAAGTCAGATTTGAACTTCTGAAAACTTGTAGATGATTTTGAAAAAACTAAGTCAGTCTAAACAGTATTTGTTATAAGTTATTGGAAGTTTTAAGAATTTGTTAGATGCCAATCGCCACCCGTCATTCGCCAACCACTGTCACAAAAAAATGGAGACCATAATGTGTCACCAACTTTTGGTGGTAACATAACTAGAAAATCAGCAACTCCACGGAGTAGAAAATCCCACCGAACAAAACATATTATGCTTATTATAGCTAGTGTAAATGTTGAAATGTTTGTGCACTTTGTGATAGAAGCGTGAAATTTGGCACAAAGTTAATTTATACCATTGTGAACTAGGCATCATCATATAAAATTTGAACCAAACCCGTTCACTGGTATATGAGTTATCAAAGATTACGTTTTTTACAAAAATTGGCCACCATCTTGAAATTTAGCCGCCATCTTGAAAATCCTTTGTCCCTAGGCATCAGCATACTACACACTACCCTACCACGTGACCACGTTTAAAAGGGAAACAGGGTACAGCTTAGTTGCAAATGGAGGACGTGGGTTTAATTCCATATTTCCGAACGTAAATTACATTTTACATTTATTTCTAGTATTCTACCAGACGTAGAATTGATTCATCGAGCAGTTTGTAGAATATTGTTGGCAAAAAAACACTATAGGCAAAGATAAATAATAGTGGGCGCAGTGAAGCAAAACTCAATGCAATACACGATACATTTCAGTAAATCTATCAACGTTCAGGGAGCATGTAAGTTTCCCTTCGAAAATGTTACATTGATATGTAACAAAAAAACAATTAACTGTTCTTTAAACTGCGTGTCATCGTGTTATATGTGAATACGTTTTCCAGTATGTTATTCAACTGTATTTTTATGAATTAATTGTTTTTCTAAAATCTTAAGATGCAAAAAACGTCGTCCCAGAAATATATCTTTACTTTGCCGTAAGTTAAGGCTGTTGTGAAACATTCTTCCTCTTGTCACAAAGAGGATAATGTTTGTTTCGAGGTGTCTTGTGATGAGCGTTTCATGATTAAATGCAAAATCACTGGAGCAGATACCACCCAAAAACATCTGACATTCAACACGTCATCTAAGACTACATCGATCTGGTATTAGTTTTTTACAACAATAGAGAAATACGATGTCATATCAGCGGTACAGCAAATCGTGAAGAACAAAATGCTCTCAAGTCGTGGCATGATGGTATTTTGAACAAAATATTTTAAATGATTGGTTTTTGAGAACGGTAGTGAATTAGACCATTCAAGGGTTATATAAATCTACAAAATAATGTTTACTTTATTTGGATTAAATAACAATTGATGACACCTCAAAGCATCAACAGGCGGCCTTTTTAGCATTATTTTCACTGTTTGCAACGTAAATGTACATGAGATCGGGACATAGTATGTCTGTATAATCAGCTTACTTTCTCGCTCCCTGTACTATTGAGCAATTTACATTCCTTGTACCCTGTATTGATCAACTTTTGCAACTGTGTACCGTGTACTATGACATATCAAATATTTTAAAATTTAAAACGATATTATTTACATTCTTTCTTCAACTATCATATAACTTGGAACATGGACTTCACTATTGCACCACTGAAGTTCAGCGAATAGCAATATTGAATCACTCCGAGCACCAAACGTATTAACCTTTTGACTAAGCAGTCGAAATACTCAAAAGCGACGTGGTTGAAAGCCAAAAAATTCGCGCATGCGCTATCGAGGTAGGGTAGTGTGTACTAGTATAAAATTTGAACCAAATCCATCAACTTGTATTTGAGTTATCAACGATTACATTTTTTACGAAAAATGGCGGCCATTTTGAATTGAGCGGCCATATTGAAAATTCCTTCTCGAGCAGAGGTCCTACACTCATAAGGCATAAGCCTATAAAATTTGAACCAAATCCGTCAACCGGTATTGGAGTTATCGCCCGGACACACGGCCGGACAAACGAACGGACGGACGCACGGCTTCTCTATATCCCCCTCGAACTTCGTTCGGTGGGATAAAAATGGATACCAAGTGAAATCTGTAGACTTATTTAATGGGTAGTTTAAGCCGAGGTTTTATCCCACCAAATATCTTTCAATTACCAGAATCAAATCAACAAAATAAATTGTATAGTTTCAAATTTATTGATACTACTCTATTATACATATATTCTAAAGCATAATAATCCTGAACATTGCCATATTTTTGTTTACTACATCTAATGAATAAATGAAATGGAATGCACTCCTGAACCATGCATAATTCTGTTAAAAAGAGAAATCAATCCCATGATGCAATTTTGTATCTTCCAGAGCTAAGCACCATGGGTTTGAATTCCCTCTCTCTATTGGTCATGTAAATTGAAACTGAACCATTAAAATTCCAGCAAAATTTTGTTGCTTTCCAATGAAAATATTTTACAAGTTGATGTCAATGTCAAACACATTTGAGTTAGAGGCTTTTGAACAGCTAACTGTCAACATAACAAACCATATGAACAATGAACAGCTTAGATTAATTAACATTTAAAACTCCTATGAAAATATACGATGGAATTGAAACCTCTCATATCTTACAGCAAACTGCTTTTCTCAACAATATCAGAAAAATGTTCTTAATGATTCAACATTATTTCACAAGTTTCTAAAGTGAAAGCAGCATTTTTATGCCAATAACAATAAAATATATATTGCATTAATACTGACTCAAACTGAGAATTTTTCAGTTTAATGTAGAGAAGCATATAAAGCTGTTGGGTTTACAGCTGTTGTATAAGAAAACTAAATACAGCTATTATGTTCAAGGAAAGTTAATAAACATCAGTTAAAATAAATAAAAAATGAAATTTAGATTTTTAGCAAATTTGACCTCTAATTAGGTTTAATTAATGTCAATGTTATTGAGTTTTGAGCAAAAAGATTAAAATCACAAAGATAGAAGTAACAATTCAGTAATGAAGATAAACTATTTCAGTGTATGATGTGCCACTCTATATGAGCTAACTAAAAGTAGGTAGTTGCACTTTGTGATAATAAGCATTCCAGAACCTAAATATCATCAGTTAGAACTTTAGTATAATTATCTCATATTGAATGTATAAGAGGAAAATAATTGTGAAGTGTTTCCAAGAATTATTAATATTACACAAAGAGAAAATAAATGGATTGAATCTTATATAACATATAATAATGAATGTATAAATGATATACTTATTGTGCATGTACATATGTACATGAAATATGCCATCAATATATAGTCGTATCAGTGTGCAGGCCTTTTTTTGTTCCCAAAATGTCAAATTAAACGCATGCACAACCAAAATATTAAGATGAAAAATTCCTGGACATGTCAAAATAAGAAATGTTTGGCAAAAGAAATCTGGCATTAGACAATTCTAACCCAGCAGTCTTTTACCAACATAGTTTTATAAATGACAATACCATATTTTTAATATTCAAATTGACATTTTGGGCTTTTATATTTTTCCATTTTTATTTGATTTTTTGAAATTTTCTGATTTTTTTGTATTTTTTCTGGCAATGTATCAGTTATGACAGAGACAAGTTCCCAATGTTTTGTACTCTTTAAATGTTCAGTGAGTTAGTAAGTGTAACATCTCTGGCTTTGTGACATCATCAAGACAACTTGTGACATCATCAAATCTATTGTTGGGATCATCAAGATATATTGCATGTAAATAATATAAAATAATACAAGTCAAGTCTATTAATTTGAAGCATTTTAATTATATCCATCCTTGTATCTCTTAACTGGTAGCCTAGAAATGATCCAATATCATGTATGTACATGTATAAACTGTCTAGCTGCGGCTATAGAGTTGTAAAAACTGCAAATTCCATGAAAATTCCTTGATTGGCAAATGGCAGTTGATGGTGTCACAAAGCTTCTGTATATACATTGTAATTAATTGAGTTCAATTAATAAATAATCATCTTGTTCTGCTTGTAGAATCCATATTCAAGAAATAGTCGTTTCATTCAAGTGATCACATCGCTATATACAAGACTGTATATTTTTGGCTGCAATGAGTATAATATTAGGGAAGCCTAGTGTGTTATCCTGTAGTGATTCTAAAATCCAGATTCATATCTTTGTTATAATGTTGTTATGAAGTTATTGTTCAGTCACAAACTCACTGACATACTATTTTACCCTACATACAGCCTCTAGTGGGTAAGTAACGAGGCTTCAGTCGGGATTACTCGATATCGTAGGCCATGAACAAAAGGTCACCCACATTTGGGACCAGTGGGTTTCCCGGACTCACAGCGGCAAACCCCAGGAACATAAATGTTCTGATGAGGCATGCTGGAAAAAAATAAAAAATATGTTCTCTTATTCATACAAAAATAAACTTAAAGGTGAGACTTAAGTTGAATTAGACAATGTGTTAGACAGAAAATCAAAATGTTTTAAAAAGTGCCCCTTAATTTTTGAATAGGACTAGGAATAGGATGCAAGTAAAAGTAAACCCGATGTAATTACCATGAATCATGTACAAATAGAAAATAGAAAAACTTCTGAGATAGAAAGCCTTGTTAGCTAAATTATTATTCCGAGAAGATTTATTGAAAACATTGAACAATTTGAACACATTTAGTTCATGTTTGAGAAACACATAGCATAATCTCAATTTGGATGATAGAGACTTACCTCGATCTGAGCGTTCCTTCTTGAAGCACACAATGACGTGATGGCATTTAAGCTGTTCTTCCGCGTACTCTAGAAGAGTAACAAAGCTGAAAGACAACACACAATTTTCATCACCATATACATTTAAAGAGACTAAAATATGCTTAAAGTTAGAGATTGAACCCTTTTAAGTTTAGTTTACAATGAGCCGTCTTTTTTTGACACTCCATTATGTATTTCCAATGGGAGAACAGACAGGAGACCTTTTTATGGATTTAAAGATGTTCTTTTGACCCAACAGTTTATATCCCAGGATCGGTCTGTCTTGTCCAAAATCTTTTGTCTGATAATGTTATGGACTAACACATTGAAACATAATGTCAAATCCAATCTATAATTTTCTTTGCTACCTACCTTTCCTTGGAGCCTTCTGGGAGGATGCCGTTAGGAATCTCCACATAGAGACTCCGTCCCAGCATGATTGTATCCCAGGCTACCACAATGCTATCGGTCAGAGTGATTTCAAAGCGCATCTTAAGTTTAGAACTCGCACACACACTCGAGGCTGTATGTTGCATGTCCACTAAACCGTTCACATAATCTGTGAGCAGACGTTTAGCGTTGACAGGGGGCTCTTTCGAAACCCCCACACCGGTGCCCTCTGTCATAAATGACACATTGACGGCGTGGGGAACATCAGGAACACTGCTGAGGCCCGGTACACAGACTAACACACAACTGTTTACTGGACAACCTAAAAATAAAACAAACTTACAAGTTCGTAAAATTGATAAAGTTTAAATATCGAATAGTAGTCTCCTTTAGGGAGGCTATGTCTATTTAATGCTCGACTGATCAATTGGCTACTATATTAGGGAAAAATGTGCAACTTGAATTTAATATGTAGCACTGTACAGCATGCGCTACATTTATATATCAGAAGAGTTAAGATAATGGTCTTTTTCCAACTTTAGAGCATTCCTGTTTTGTCATTTCCTGTAAAGTACCATGGCACCTAAATCGTGTATACAGTGCTGATATATAATAATAGACTAGAGGGTGCGTTTTCAAACTAAACAGAGTGATCCTACCAAAATGAATTTGCCTACATACCCCTGAGACTTATCTGATGGATAGAATGCACAAATAAGACAAAAGTTTTGCTATTATAGGTAAAAAGTTCTCTTGAAATTTCGAAGTGATTTTACCTGTTAATTCTGTCAGTGGTCCGCCATTTTTGCGGAAGTTACACTGAAGCGCAAACTCCATGAAACAAAACCATGAGAAAAAACATGGCACACATTGTGCAGCACAGTTTAAACCAAACAGATCATTTGATTATTTTGTGCACATGAATTATTATTTGCTTCTGAGCATTTACAAGCTTACTAGAGTCCATTTCACTGCTTCATTTCATCAGTAGAACGGCAAAAATAAGAAATTGGGAGACCATTGTGCAATTATATATGGAAAGTATATTCATATATATATATTTCTTTATTGCGACCAATTCTGATCATATACATATAGTTTAACATAAAAGGTTATAAAAGGTTATGAAGAAAAAACATACAAAAATATAACAAAATATACAGTAGTTGTTTAGTGCAGGACGTTTAGAGAATTGAGAAATCTAGTTCTCAGTTGGTACATATGATACACTGTCCTGGCTATTATAATACAATCATCATATTCATTTGGGGCAAAAATATTTTCAATTACATTTAGGTCACTTCCGCCTAAGTAAGGTCATATAGGATTTCTAGTTGTTTCCAGCACATCACAAAACTTAATAAAATGTAACAATGATTCATGCGAATTACACATTGGGCATACCCTATTCACATTTGGCTCGGTATGACGACCAACACCTTCACCAATCAGTAGTCTCACCATAAGTTTACATTTGAATATCATTTCAGGTTTGTATTTACATAGCTGGTACCAGACTATGGGAGTACGAGTAGTTACTACTTCTCTATAATGTTTGATTTTATTATATGTCATACATTGAAAACGCCATCTTTGCAGAGACTTTGTAAGAACAGAACTTTTCACTATCTTTTTCCAGTGCCACTTGGATGGAAATGTGTTATTAGAAATATAGCTATCCATTCTTCCTATAAGATCATATTGCATTCCAAGTTGTATAATTTCCCTAATTGGTGATGAAACTGTTACAGCACATTTATCTACGAAGAAGCTATATAGTATAGCATACCATCTAAAGATACTTAACTTCTTACAAATACCAACACTAGTATTAAAGATGTGCCAGAAATACATGAGCTTCCTGATTGCAATAGTTTCGCTTATACCTGTCCAACCAAGTTGAGCAATCGCGGCACAATCAGTTGTGTTCTTTGGAAGAGATTGAATTGACTTGGCCGAATTGGCATGCACCTTTTCTAAAGTTTTAATATTTGATACATTATAATTTAATACCTCGACACCATATAGCATGGTAGGAATTGAAACAGTCCAATATAAATTAGAAGCAGGTAAGGGATTTACGCTACACTTTTCGGGGGTGACACAGTCTACAGTGGCATAGAAATTGCGCCTTGCCCTAGATGTTACATTGTCTAAGTGATAGGCTATATCCCGCTGTGTAACTGGTAACCCAAGATGAACAAGGTCTTTGTTTATCGGAATCTTAGCGGATCCGAAATCAAAAGGTTGTACATCTTTAAAACTACTTCTAGTAAAGTGAACTGCTGCACATTTCCCTGGATGGATCTCAAATCTCCATCTATTTGCATAATTATAAAGAATGTGCAGCATTTCTTGCATGCTATGTCTGAACATTGATACCAGTATGGTGTCATCTGCGTACGATGGAGCAACACAGTTTATCCCCCGTACCTGACATCCATGTCCAGAGCTCTCTAATTCTAATAACAAAGGGTTCATGAATCTTACATACAATTCCATAGAAAGGACCCCACCTTGGTGGACCCCTTGTTGAACACAAAATAAATTACTTAATATACCATTGACCTTAACACAGCAACGATATCCTACATATGTCTCATAGATAATTTTCCACAATTTTCCGTTGATACCCTGATTATATAACAAAAACATCAAGCCATTTGTAAAAACCGTATCAAATGCCTTTTTCACGTCAATTGCCAAAACATAGGCATCTGAGCCATTTTCAAGTTGATGGGCAACTGTTTCCCTAAGGACAAGGGAGGTGTCAATACAAGATGACCCTGACTGTGCTGCATATTGAAGTTTTGACCTATTAAAATGATCACAACATTTGCTACGGTTTAAAATCAACCTATCTAATATCTTACTATATGTACTCATTAGAGTTATTCCCCGGTGGTTATCTTTATCAAGAACATCCTTATTACCACCTTTATACAGTGTTATCATAACTCCTACTTTTAAACTACTTGGTACATGTTCATACTTAAAAATAGCATTAAAAATCGCAGTTAAAAGATTAATAAGTGCCATGCCACCATATTTAAGATGCTCAGCTGATACACCGTCCATACCACTAGCATGTCTGTTATTCAATGACGTAATCGCTTTCAAGAGTTCTTCATTGTCAAAATTAACATCAAAAGAGCCATCACTGTTGTTTTGGTATTCTTTTTTCATAATATTTACTCGAGAATCAATATAATCTTTAAAGTCGGAATCAAAATTAACATTACATTTTGGGGTAAACAGTTTCTCAAAATAATTAGCCCATTCATTTCTAATATCACCAGGATCTTGTAGCACAGTCCCATCATCAGCTCTAATATGTATCGATTGTTTACAATCCCGTTTATGTCTGTTAGCTAAATACCAATAGTATCTCGAATCCACATCATGAGACTCGTCAATTTTCTTTTGACAGGTAATATTATATTGCATTTCGGCCATTCTTAAAGCCCGCCTGTAATTCCGTTTGGATTCTTTATATAAAAGCCAAAGCTCGTCATCGCCCCGCTGCATTCCGCTGCATTTCCAACGATTCCACAGCCTATTCTTTTCTTTCATAACATCTTTGACTGTGGAATTCCAGTATGGTTTCAGACGCTTATTATATTTGCGCTTTGGCATGTTACCCTCAGCGACCGATTTCAAAATGTCTGTAACATTCTCTAATGTTTTATCTATAATATGCACATTATATCCCTGATCTTTACAATTATCCTCAAAATCAGTTTGGACATGTTTTAAAAGATCCTGAACTTTTGATGTATACAACAAATCAATATCGCTATCTGAGAGCTGATCCCATGAGATGTATGATTCATTTAATGTGTCATTTAGGGAGCATGGTCCCTGTCCATCAAATACAATATTAACTGACATAGACAGGTGATCAGAGGTATTAATGATACATTCATTATGCGTAACTCCATACTTGATGTTCTCTAACAATGCGGCAGATATTACACAATGATCAATATATAATGTAATGTATCATAATGTACATGAATGACATTTGTATATTTCAGATTTTTTAGTTTTTTGTGCAATAAGCCTGTGCCATCATAATTTGAAGAATTTCAGCCATGTTAATCTTATTGAAAATAACATGGCAGAGAAACATCCAAATATAAGAGGCCACACACTTTATAAGCCAAACTAGAAGCAATCCAAGATATACAAATGTCATTCATGTACATTATGAATATACTTTTCCATATATTATTGCACAATGGTCTCCCAATTTCTTATTTTTGCCGTTCTACTGACGAAATGAAGCATTGAAATGGACTCTACAATAAACAAACCTGGCAGAGACTACCCTTAGCCTACTTCATTTTGGCGAAATTTCAGCACAAACTTGTGACAAATGCATTATGCATACGCTGGTGTGAAGCCTTGGAGACACTCATTTGGTAAATATGATTTATGGTCATATACTTTTCTGCAGTTTGTGGGAGTTTGGGACATTAAATGTAAAATCCAAGAAATATGCCAATTATACGACTTATCAATTAATATGTATCAGCACTATAGATGATGATGATTTGGCAAAACAACTTCAACTAAATTCAACCTCTTTCACAAAAAGCGAAGATTATACAGTGGTTCATAAATTGATTGAGAACAAATGGCAAAGGCAATTTGATTAGGACTAGACATGTAGTCATGTAGACATAATGTTTTGCAGTTCAGCAAATAAGTTATTAGGATTTCAGTGTACTGTAGACTAGTAGCTAATAGTAATAGTAAAATAATAAAATACAAGAACACAAATGTGTACAAAATGTCCCCACCTATTGGTGATCCCGTCAAATGGTTATCCTAAAAATGAGTAGACAAGATTTTACCGACACAATTTGAGGACGGAAAATCCAAATGGCCACCTTAAAATTTACCCAGAATGCCAAAGAATTGGTCAGTTCTACATTTTCATACTAAGAACCACCCCTGAAAATTTGAAATTGATCCGTCACACAGTTAACCAGAAAACATGTAAACAAGACTTTACAGACAAGATTTAAGGAAAGAAAATCCAAAATGGCTGCCTTGACATTTACCCAGAATGCCAAAAAACTAATCAGAACTAGATTTTCATACTAAAAATCATCCCTGAAAATTTGAAATTGATCAACCAAACGGTTCACCTAAAAACATGTAGACAAGTCTTTACGGGCACGATTTTAAGACGGAAAATCCAAAATGGCTGCCTTGACATTTATTCAGAATGCCAAAAAACTAATCAGATCTAGATTTTCATACTAAGAATCATCCCTGAAAATTTCAAATTGATCTACCAAACGGTTCACCTGGAAATGCGTAGACAAGACTTTACAGACAAGATTTTACGGCAGAAAATCCAAAATGGCTGCCTTGACATTTACCGAGAATGCCCAAAAACTAATCAGATCTAGATATTCATACTAAGAATCATCCCTGAAAATTTGAAATTGATCTACCAAACGGTTCACCTGAAAATGCGTAGACAAGAGTTTACAGACAAGATTTTACGACGGAAAATCCAAAATGGCTGCCTTGACATTAACCCAGAATGCCCAAAAACTAATCAGATCTAGATTTTCATACTAAGAATCATCCCTGAAAATTTGAAATTGATTTACCAAACGGTTCACCTGAAAACGCGTAGACAAGACTTTACAGACAAGATTTTAGGACAGAAAAATCAAAAATGGCCGACAATAAAAAAGTGATTATGGATTTTTGCTGATTTCTTTTTACAAAATTATCACATATAACTACTGTTAACAATAAAATAGGCTTTTACAACAAAGGACACATGAAATTATTTATAAAGCTACTAAATAGTTAAAGTATGAAAACTGAAAAACACCATTCAATTTGATACAAAGTATTATCGTGCGCTTATTTTTCTTAAAACATTCAAAATGGCTGACTTGACTGAGCTAACAGGTCCAAAACCTAATCAGATCTAAAATGAAGTGATCTGAACAAGATGTTAAAGTTTGAAAAGCAACTGTGAGGTCGTTTTTCTTAAAGTTTGCAGACAAGGATTTTAGCATTTGACTTCAAAATGGCCGACAGGAAGTAGGTATTGAGTTAATTTTTTTTCATCCACATCTTTATGCACTCATAAGTTATCCCTGAAAATTTGAAGGTGATATCTGTAACGGTTTTGGAGAAAACTGCCGGACGTACGGACGGACAGACGGACAGACAGACGGACAGACGGACGGACGGACGCGCCTAGGCCGACAATATGGCCCCACACTATGTGGTGGGGACATAAAAAAAAATCTAAAAAAAATTTTCACTGATGATGACGCACTCACATGTTGTTACTGCTATATATTGACGGCATATTTTCTTCTTTCTCTTTCGTTTTCGGGCCAAAGTTTTCTATGTGAAATATTGCCTTAGAGGCACTTAATAGCATATCTATAATTGACTTGCGATACTCTTTGGAGTCCAGAGAAATTCAACGCCAAAGACGAGAATTTCACTGAAAAAGTTTTGTCCTTGTCGGATGTTGATTGCTTTTGTTTACGTCATCACGGAAATTGACGAAAAATCGTTTGGCCATCAGTTTTGAATTGGGGGTCTGTACTAATAAATGAGTATAATCAGGTAGCACAAATAACTAATTTAAGCATTAAAATGTTCAAAACTGGTCTAAAAACTAAAAAAACACTAATATTGGGGCGCTTTCCGGAAAGTAACGAGCGCACCTGCTGGTTGCGTTAGATATATCACGAAAAGGTTACTAGAAAACATAATTGTCTTCTTTTTGTATCTTTGTTTCATTAAATTTCTTTTCATCTCTGGACGATACATCCTAGATATTGTTGTTTTGTATTTCTGGAAAGATTAAAACCCTTTCAATATTTCGTGAGTATTCCGTCGCATTCATCAGAGTGACGCAAATGCGGAAGTAAAAAAAATGTTGAAAAATAGGTAACATTTTATTTTTCAATTGTATTGAACTCTTGAACTGTTTGTATTACATTTTATTACTCAATTCATCAGTAATAGAATCCTGTAAAATATAATGTGTAAAAGCACAGCTCAGCAGAGTCATGACTCAGAGCTCAAGAATGACAATAAAATAAATTTTTTGCCACTCAATATTTGGAACATAAATAAATGACACTGACAGGTGGATTTGCTGAAGAGGATTTCCCATTTTGCTTATCTTGATTTCTATTTTGACTGCCTTGTACCAATGAGAAAGTCCCATGCTTTACCGACCCAATGTCATAAATGCCAATTATGACGGGCCTGCAGCGTTAGCTCGTTATTATGCACAGTCTAAACAAATACACCTCTCACGAACAAATTTTGCACGATTCATTATGAAAAAAAAGAAATTTTACCAGATAAATATCAATCAGAGTTTAGTGGATGAGGGTACATTGATTGGATACCCGGAGGGGAGAAGATTTCAACAAGAAATGTAGCCTTGTAGAAGGCTTTAGCATTTGTTGATTTTTAAAATTTGGAAACAAATATCCAAATTTTTAAAAATCTACGAATGCTAAAGCCTTCTACAAGGCTACAAGAAACGTTGAAAAGACGGCTGAAATGATCAAACATGATAGCTAGATCTAGGCTGAGATTCCAATCAATCACTGAATCAGATCGACGACTATATGGAATAGGTCTTCGTGCATTTTCAGGTTAGCGGGTACCTAATGTTCCTACCAGGGTTATGAATTTGATTTTTTGATTTTATCATTTTACTACTATATTAGGGAAAAATGTGCAACTTGAACTTGAAAGTTGGTAACCCTGCTTGGAATGTTAGGTACCCGGTCACCCGGCCACCCAGTTACCCGGTTTTTTACACAAACCAATTGTGTGTTTTCTTTTTTTAGTATAAAGATCGCCCCTGGAGCAATAGTTTGCAGTGAATGTGAGATTAAAGGTGATGTTACAATAGGTAAGCCTGTCTTAGTGTTATTTTCCCTTTTAATATGTAGCGCTGTACAGCATGCGCTACACTTATATACCAGAAGAGTTAAGATAATGGTATTTTTCCAACTATAGAGCATTCCATCCATGGATAATTTGTCAGCCAGTTTACTTCATATAACTACAGGTTCCATTTCAAATTCCGAAGTTGGCCATTTTTGGATGAACAAAGTTCATGACAAAATAATCAAATAACTAATTCAAAATTAGTTGAAAATCCCCATCTTGGCATCAATATAAAACTAAATGAAATGAAGCATATCATGTATAGTTCTCAGCATTTCCCAGTTCCCTGTCCTTCTTGATGTATTCACCAATACAAGATACTTAGAATCCAATTTGTCTAGATACAATTAGAGACATAGTCTATGTCTCTGATACAATGTAGCAGTTATGTAAAATGCAGTTGTGTGATGTATATGTATATTCTTCATTCTTAAAATGTATTTCTTGATTTAATCACCTACAAGTCTGTCCGATATAGTACTTAATAAACAATGCTATTCATTAACTTATTATGTAGCACTAGTGTAAAATGTGTGATGCATATATTCTTCATTGTATTCTCCATCCAGGTGCCAGAACGGTGATCCACCCAAAGGCTCGCATCATTGCAGAGGCAGGCCCCATCGTCATTGGAGACAGTAATCTCATAGAGGAGCAGGCTCAAATTATAAACAAGTGAGTTTATTCTTAAGAGTGAGTTTATTTAGAGTTGAGGCCATAAGAAGTAGATTCTTTGTTTTGCATCCCCTTGCTTGCACCATTTTGAGTAAATCAGAAAAAAACAAAGACGATCCAAGTAGCAATCACAAGGGTCTGAAAGTACCATCGCATTTCGTTCAATCAGAATCAGACGAAATGGCGGATAATTTGTGTGCCTCAAAATTGACAATTGTTATTGTTTATTTTGGCATATATTGTTTATTTTCTTATTTTTTATCCTTGAATAATAGCTATAAGTTTAAATATATTGTATAAAATGTATAGATATATGTTTGTAATCACTACAAATTATTGTCAAATTATGTCATCCCTTTTTATGCCCTTGAAATGTATTCATTTCTCAGCAAACAAGTTTTTTCTTGAGTTTGTGTTTGCTTTCCTTGTACCCTTGCATGATTTGAATTTTGCCAGGACGCAAAACAAAGAATCTACTTCTTATGGCCTGATCTGAGTCACCAAGTAGTTTGATTGAGAGTATGGTTTATCCCCCTAAAGCAAGTAAAGTAAAGTATATTTTGGAGCTGTTGGTGGGCCAAAATATATGCCTTATTGATATTTTTCTTATATATACCATAATTACCTTTTTATCTTACACTCATTAAAAGTAGAACATGTTTCTTCAAAATTAAGAATGCTCTATAGTCAGTGGGGAACAAGCTTGGTAGTTTTGAAAAAGGTTAGGGTCAATAAAAAGTATGTTGATCAATTTATCCATTGAAATTATATAGGTACATAATAAAATGATATAAGCTCCAGGAGCATTTATGGAAAATAACCATGATTATAACCTATTTCATGTACAGAAATATTTGTTTTATTTTAAATGCATGTAATTCTGCATATACAATAAGCAACCTTGTCCTTCTATTCTTCTGCAAATCAAAAATGCTACAATATTGTGTACTGTGTTTTCTTTGGCCTCAATAAATGCAATACTATAATCTAGTACTTGTTTTCTTTGGCCTCAATAAATACTATACTATTATCTAATACTTGTTTTGTTGCAGAGCAAGTGATGCTGGAGATGGTGGGACCAAGGCTGTCATGGTGATTGGAAACAACAACCAGTTTGAGGTTGGATGCTGTATCCTTTACAATATTAAACCATTATGTCTGTGTAATTTGTGAAGAAAAAATAGGAAAGAAGCAAAATTTTTGTGCTTAGATAAAATAATTTTATATTTAGCATATTTGTCAATTGTAGTGTTGTTGGTATGCTACTTCTATCTTGACATAGATATGTTTTTTTACCCAGGTATTTTTGTTTTATTTTTCTCTAGAATGACTAAATATTTGTTAAGTATAACCTTGAAATTCTAGAAAGGGCAAGACAACAGTTTGGCCAATGAGATGTTTTGGTTAGCCATCTGACATTGATAAACTTACAACTAGTTTGTGGAAGCCTTATGTGTATGTTCAGTATACACATATGCATATTATATGTCATTCATGTCATTATTGACCTTAACATTCACCTCAGATTCTGAAGCTATGCAGATAGGAGACAACAACATACTGGAGACAAAAGGTAATTTAAACATTTCCATAAACAGTTACTAAACTAAACACAATTTAAACAAGAGATAATTCTTTGGTCTAGCCTATGTCCATGGCCATTCAATAGAGCCCATGCTATGTCCAATGAGAATATATATTCAGGAAGTCCTGACATATCATTTTCTGCTTATAAGTAACTAATATTCATTTTACATTCAGCCTGTTATAGAAGTCCATAAAAGCTATATTTGAGCCCATTAAGATCTTCTAAGCATCAAAACTGAAAATCCCCTGTGAGAGTGAGAGTGAAGTGCATGATGATTAAATCTGAGAAAAGCCATCAACATCCTAATCAAGGGTTATGTAGTATATGTATAATGATGATTTCATTACTCACAGGACTTCTGAGATGGACCCAAGGATAATACTCAAGTCTATTTACTCAAGTCTGTATTTATATATGTATTTTCAGCTATAGCTGGCAAGACTGTTTTGTTGACGAATGGTTGTATAATAGGGGCCCAATGTGAGGTGACAAGTAATGAGACTCTACCAGAGAACACTGTGATATATGGGAGAGAATGCCAGAGGAGGGTACAATCTGAGAGACCCCCAGTAAGTACCTGTTTAGATTGTATCAAGTCTCTGGACCTTAGTATTCTACTTCACCTCTTTGTGAAAGTGAGGGGAGTATCTGTTTTCATAGTGAAAGTCTTTGGTATTTGTTAGTTTCTCCATCTAGGGTTCAATATCAGAATATTTTCAGCTCAAAATTTTTAGTCCATTGTTGTTATAATGGAAATCATAATGTCATAGTAACAGAATAAATACTTTGGGGAATTCTTGATTTTACAAACTCTTTTGGAAATGTATCTTATTTCAAAGTTGCTAAAAGAATTGTTAATAAAATTCTCCAGGGCTTGAATTAATATGTGGGATGAGTATGATGATTGAACAAGAAATCTCAGATTAACAATGTGTTGGTCTGATTAGTGTTACTTTTTATTTTTCAGCCACAGACTCTACAATTGGACTTTTTAACAAAAATTTTACCAAACTATCATCATATGAAAAAGCCAAATAAAAGAGAAAAGTGATGAAAAAAGACAATAGGCTTTTCAGCAGACTTCACACTGGAAATATTAAACCTTACAAACTTTGTCATGCTGCAGCCTATGCCTATGGGCATGGTCTAGTCCGCTGACACTTTGGATTATTAAATACCATTTATAATATTCATTCACTCAGCTCCCCTATATGGTCGATGTTGAATGTTGTGAAGATTGCATTTGTAAAAATGGTTTGAACTGAGATGTCCATATTTGTGATGATATGTAGTCTACTGTATTTACTTTCGGTGATTTGGACTAGAGTTGGAGATAACTGTTAAGTTATCTAACAGTAACCTGTCATGAAATAGGAGATATTTTAAATTAGTGTAGTTAGCCTATTCAACATCATTCAATTTTACATGTTAGTAGATTTTGCAAGATGCATGTAGTCATATATAGTTGGCGAACGCTTGTAAAGATGGCAGTGTGATACAATGCCTAAAGTTAAAACTAATAAGGTACTCCCTGAAAATAGATTAGAATTTTTTTTAAAACATTTAAGTATAAATTGACAACAATATTTGAAAATTGAAAATTTGTATTTTTTGTTTCTATTTTCATGTTTGTAAATTGTGTACTTATATTCATTGTTTCGTTTATCATTGACTGGCACACCATAATTGTTCAGAATGAGGTCAGTGTTACCTTGTTGTACAAATTCAAACAATACAGTGTATACATGTATCTGTCTTATTTGAGATGAAGAAGATTTGATTGATTGTTGACCTCCTATCCATAGTGTTAGGTGTGTTTGAAATACTAGTAGACGTGAATATGTTCTCATATCTGCAGATAAGAACTTGACATTTTACTTTAAGAAATCAGCAGAGGTTTTTGGCTCATAGGATCACCCACTCATCTATCTATCTAGCTTTCTGTCTGTCAACAATTTTCAGATAAATGGAACCTGCCCATTGTCTTAATTAACACTCATACCTAGTTTATGGGATTCATACGGGCAATTTACACCACGGGTCTTTACTCCTACTATGGCCTCACTTTGGAGCAATCAGCGTTTTCATTTTAAAATATAACATTTTTCACCATGGGAGTCTGAATGGTGCAATTTATTCTAGTCTAATCACATTTTGTGTTTGAAAATTATAGATTAATAAAAATTTTGTGTTTGAAAATTATAGATTAATAAAAAAGGGATAGAAAACCTCTCTGTGTCCAGAATAGGCAAATATAGGCACTGTTTCCATCTACTTGGTAACAGAGTTGGCGTGGACTATACTGTAGATGATGTCTAACATGCTAAAACAATGGGAAGTTAAACAAACTGTAACATGTAAAAGAATGCATATTGAATCCATTAAGTTATTGTCATAGACATAATTATGTATTTATTATATGTATGAATTGAAGTTGAAAAATACAATCCATAAAAAACATATAATTGTCATTTATATTAATCTGGCATGACCATTTGGATGTTAATTTTAGGATGAATGGAGTCAATATTTGGCAATTTCTGGATAAGATGCGCATAGTTTTGTATAAAGTAAATAAAACCAGGTTGCTAAATTGACCTGATTCACCTGGTTTTTTTTGTTTGCTTATTGTAACTCTATACAACTATGCTCTAGTTTTCCTTCAAATTGGATTAATAATGCAGATGCGAGTAGGTAGTTACCAGATTCACCACCAGGTGGCTCGTTCGGGTCAGATAGCATGGCGGGTATAGTAGAAAGTTCCCTTTAACTTAAATTATATCTATTTGCTTGGTTCAATTTTCATATAACCCTTATGTATCTATTAGTTATGCAAATTAAAATATGTCCAGTCAAAGAAAATGTTATCTGTCCAATACAAGAAAAGATAATTCACTTTTTGTGATTTTGTAACATGGGGTCTATGGGGAATCAACCCAAACAAGAAGTCACATTTTCAAAAAAAATTAAATTTTGATAGACAACTTTCGAAACCATATTTCTAGATGTACTTTTACATGCAGATTTCAAATATGACATCACTTTGACTGGATTTTGAATATTTAATGACGTAAATCAAGATTATTTCTACTCGCATCTAGTCTATTGAAAATTGTTTTGCAAAATCAATGATTGATTCAATGGTCCAGGATTATGTACCAAATTATCATTCATTATCTTCTACAGTTCATTATTAAGAATATTATTGACCTCTTGCTAAATTATCCTATTGAACGTGGAGTTCGTGTTTACGGAATATAATCACATTTTGCTATAGATTTTCTATTAGGCCTTGTGGTACCTGAAATCCTTCTTTAATTTCACGGAGATTTGATGAGTCAGAAAATGAGACAAAATAGTTAGAGCTTAAAAATGTGTGCATTAACTATTTGTGCTGAATATTGCAAATGTTAACTATGGGCATCCTGAAGAGTTCTACCTGTGTGGCCATCCATTAAGGGACCAAGGGTCTTATAGGTAGGATAAGTCATCATACCTGATTTTAAGGATAGCTGAAAGATTGTTTTCCCTTCATTGGCATTATTTTTTATTCTGATATTCTTCAAATCTTCTTTCTTACAAAAGACAATCTCTGCTAAAAATTGACATGGGATATGTTGATCATTTCACTGGAACCATTTTTTTTTAATTTAACCATTGTTTTCTACTTGCAGTGGGTGGGGTGGATTAATGGAACATCTACTATAATGTCTAGTATGTTAGGTTTTAGCTTCTCTTCCAAGCTATAACTTGATAGATTATGGTACAGTTAAATCAACCTACCCCCTCCCACCATTCTTAACCATAAATTGAATAAGTAGATGATAGGTAGTTGGCCTCACCATTTGGACATATTTAGTTGAAATATCATCTTGTTTGATGAACCTCATGTCTAAAGAATTGGGAATATTGTGAATGATTGTGTTCACGAAAATATATCCACAGGTTCGTTTTGTTTGTTCATAAAATGAACAAAATCAGCCATTTTTTACGCAGCTAGGTCTCATGCCAAGTTTAATTACTGCAACTATACCAATAAATTGCCAAATAATTGCTTGTCAATACACATAGAGGAAATCACTCTGAGTCTTCAATAATTCACTACATGCAATAATGAAATCAATTAAATCTTGTGTAACGCTATTTCATTCTCGATTTCTCAAATCTGATTTCATAGGAGGCATGCATATTGTACTAGTTAGGCAGAAATTATTTCATGTCATTCGTAAATAATTAATAATTTGAAATGTAATTTTCTGTTGATTACTTTATGGCATCTTGGCATGGTTATGTATATGAATTCAGATGTACTGTTTTTTATGTCACCACCAGAAGTGCTGACACATTGTTATAGTCTCCAACTTTTTGTGGCTAGCAGTTGGTGTTCAGCAGTCAATGTCTGCAACAAATGACAGGTGGTGACATTTTGCATGTTAATGCACTCCCCTGACCCCCTAGATCTGAAATATTACATTCACATTTATATTTTGGTTGATATACAATCTTGTAATGTTCCACTAGTTTCAGATGTGTCTTTTCCATTCATATCCAGAATGACTTAAAAACTTAAAGTTACGCTATACTATCAAGACATCTTCCTGACTAAACCCATACACAATCAGAAAGTATATGTATACATAGTATATGTACTCCAGTATTCTATTTGATCATTATTAAAATGAAATAATTATGAGTTTGTATTCATCCCATGTGCTTAGAGGTTCATATTTATGGTAAGAAACCAGAAGTCGTTTCATGTAAGAGTTCGCCTTAAACAATCCTAATGCGCTGTTACATTCTACAATCGATGATAATTCAATCAATGCCCATAATAGCCATCATCAAGACTCTATAATGAAACTAACAGCCCCCCAAGGGAAATTGACTGAACTGTGAGGTGGGCTAAATTTGGAGGATTTTACCACTTACTTATATTGGATTTTGGGTGAACACACATGTTTTAAGGGTAATCTGTCATGATATAGTAACCTGGACCCTCATATCCATTTTTCTTCCAAATGATATTACAGCTATTTATCACCTGTAGTCCTAATAGTTTACCATGATTGGTTCACTTTCCTCATCAAGGACATCCATGGGTGCAACGGCCTTCGCTATCTCTTGAGCAAGAATCTCAAAGCTTTAGATAAAGAGGGCTGCTAAATCAGTATGTTTCCCATAGTTTATGTGCAGATATTGTTGATCATTTACCACAATTGCTTCACTTTCTTCAACATCAACATCCATGGATTCTAAAACGGGAATAGGAGTTTTCAGTATTATAATGATTTTTATTAAATCATGTGAAACATATTTCACTTATGAAATGTCAATTTTTACTTTCTATACATGCAGCATGAATAAAATGTTATATTTAGTATAAAAACTGACATGATTAGAAAGAAACAAGTTTCACTAATATTGGTTCATTTTTCATTGGATGAGAAATACAATTGGAATATTTAGTTTGAAGTAGCAAAAATTAGCCAGCATGGAATTTTATGGAAAAATGTTTTTTAAGTAAATGTACTTTGAAAAATATGTCTTTGAAAGTACAATATCTAATTTGACTTACACTTTGCTTCATCTATTTTGGATTACACTACTCACTAAAGCTCAGATTGGTTTACATAAGAATGGTAAAAATTCAACATTTACTTTGATTAAGGGAAAAAACTTTAAGAATGGAATAATAGTTTTGACTGGACATTTTTACTCTAATTTTGGTTAATTAGAGTTGGGGAGAATGCCATTACTGAAACTGCCTCCAAAACATCCTGTTGTTCATTAAACATGGTGGAATAGAGTTTGTCAGGAAACATACATCTCAGTATATGAGGTATAGTGCTAATTAAAGTGGCAGTTTAGGTTAGAGACTTGTAAAACATAGGAAGCAGTTTTTTTTAATAAACACCCCTAATGTGTATATTATCGCACCAAATTTAATTTCTGTGAAAGAGAATTGAAAATACAGACATTTATATCCAATATGAATGAAATGTCCAAAATCTTTAAAATTGAACATGGCATGTTCCCCTTTTCAGAAATTGTCAAATAATATTGTTAAAAAACATGGTATTTTCCTGAAATAATATAAGTTATTGAATGATTTGAAGACTTTGTCTCGTTCCAATACAGAATATCGAGACAGAATATATCCTGTATTGCACTTCAAATCATTCAATAACGTTTTTATCGTGTGATCCTCTGTATTGCTACTGAGATTGTCCCATCTGTACCAATATTTTCTGTATTGCGACGAAGATGATCAATGGGGACAACCTCAGTAGCAATACAGATCGGTACAGCTCAAGACCTGACCAATCAGAGCAAATAATATTGTAAAGACTGACAGTTTTTTAAAAGGTTTCCTCCAACAAGTGTCTATGATATATTGCCTCTTTTAAATGATCATGTACATACATCCACTGCTATGAGCTAAATCAAATATTGAATTTCAGGTATGAGGAGTATGATTTCATAGTTTCAAGTCATACAAACTGCAAATTGCATGTCAAGCAATATGTTCAAATTTAAATAAAGGATAGGTATCGATATGGAGAACTGAATTCAACAATGTTTTTCTCTTAAACCAATCATTGAAAACATTCTATAAAAAACATGGTATTTTATGTAATGTTGACTGATTGACAACAATTTAATGCGAGAATTATTTAGAAATGTTTTAAATAACTGTTTTTGTTAACATATGTTTTTTTAGTGCAATTGTTTTTGCTGCTTTCTACCAATTCTTGAGAATGAAATAAAATGTCTTTCCGAACCTTGTTGGAACAAAATAGCATATACAACATGTTTTTAGACCTCTCAATATTAAAGTTATACAAAGGAATTTGTGGTTGATTTTAAAAAAGTATTCAAAAAATTAAAACAAAATCCCCCCAAAATAGATAAAAATCAAGAAAAACCTTTTATTTCATTAACAAGATACTTTTTTAAAATCAACCAAAATTTCCTTTGTATTGTACAATTACAATATTGAGAAACCTAAAGATGTTGTGTTTATGTCGTTTTGTTCCAATGAGGTTCGGAAAGATGTTTCATTTCACTCTGGAAACATGATACCAAGAACAAAACAAGTGTTTGATGTGTTTGATATTGTTACCATTCAAAGGATGGCCATTAAATTGACAATTTGTAAGATTTTCAGAAATTTTTGATGACTGGTTTAAGAGAAACGTGTGTTCAAAAAGTTCGCCATATCGATACCCATTCTTTAAAGTTTAAATAATTCATATTTCACTTTTTTATATCTAGAGCTCTGGGAAACATGTTTGATAATATATTTGAAACAAATTGGTAAGCTCTTTAGTATTGCATCAAGTCCTTTCATGTTCCCCCATCTCCTAAAAACACTTTTTAATACAGGCTAATGGGAGATTGAATAAAGTGACAATTTAATACAGTGTGCCATGAGAATGAATACATTGGCACTTTAACACAGTGTGCCATGAGATTTAAAACGGTGAAATGCTAACACAGTGTGCCATGAGACTGAATACAGTGACATTTTAATCACAGTGTGCCATGAGATTGAATACAATGACACTATATTACACTGTACCATGCAATGAAATACAATGATACTTTCATATTGTGTGCCATGAGATGAAATACAATGACACTTTGATACAGTGTGCAATGAGATGGAATACAATGAGACTTTAAGACAATGTACCATTAGATAAAATACAATGACACTTTGATACAGTGTGCCATGAGAGTAAATACAATGACACTTAAATACAGTGTGCCATGAGATGAAATATAGTGACACTTTAATCACAGTGTGCCATGGGTTGAAATAGAGTGACGCTTTAATACAGTGTGCCATGAGATGAAGTATGGTGATACTGTAATACAGTGTGCCATGAGAGATGAAATACAATGAAACTTTAATACAGTGTGCCATGAGATGAAATTCAGTGACACTTTATTTCAGTGTGCCATCAGATGAAATACAGTGACACTTTAATACAGTGTGCCATGATATGAAATACAATTACACTTTAATTCAGTAGGCATGATATGAAATACAGTGACACTTTAATACAGTGTGCCATGAGATGAAATAGTGATTTAATACAGTGTGTCATGAGTTTTATGGGGTTTATCTGACACACAACATTCCGATCAATGTTGCCTGACTGAAATGGTAAATTATTTAATCTTTTGAGTTCAATAGTAATTACATGTAGGGAGACCAATGTCCCAATAACACCATATGGTCTTCATGCATGCAATCTATAGGTACCTATAAAACTTTAATTTCTAATTATCAATAGTGTAAAATAGCCATGAAGCCAAATAAGCCAAATTTCATCATTCCAAAATAGTTTTTTTGTCTTCAAAGCCACCTCGTAGAATTTATTTTTTTCTGGGTCGATCCAACAAAGCATCATTACTTATGAATATTTTATAGATATGATTTTTCAAACAGTTTTTGTGATTATTACTTGTCCATATGGATTTCCCTCCACAGGAGTAGTGAAGGACAATGAAAAAGTGTCAAACAGTTTCAGATATGGACTCATGAATTTCAGTTTGAGGGGGATGAAGTATGATATTCTCTAGGATGGGAGGCAAAATCAGAGCTTGGGGGGGGCAAAATTGCAAGCAACATGTACAATCAAACCACTCATGTATTTTTGCCATCTCAGATATAATGTATATTGTCTTCAAAAAGATATATGACATATCAAATGGCAAAGTTACTTAGGATTCGCAATGCAAAATGTGTAACTTCTGGATAAATAATAAATATTGATATATTTGCTAAACGAACATATGAGTGATTAAACCTTTCATGAACTTTTAGGAGTTAAATATGACAAGGAATGATATGAGTAAAAAAATTCTACAACTGAAACAAATTTTAGAAAGATAGTTCGCTGCTATAAATCTGATTTTTACTTGAAGGAAAACTAAAGAATTTGACAATTACACCTGTTCCTCATGTACTCATAACATTTTTTCTTGTATTTGAGAGACGACATGGGAAATAGGGTATTTTTCTTATTGTTATCAAGAATGCACAATCAAGTTCTTTCTTATTATGTGTACATGTACCAGAATTCATATTTTTCTTGACTTAAGTAGTGTCACTTTGCTTCAAATATACATTGAATTTGTCCTTGCTAAACTGTTTAATTTACTTTTTATTCCCTTTCTATAGAATCTATTCAGTACAGACTAGAATCCCAAATGTATGTTTGATAGGAACTCTTGTAACAATGGCTTCACATCAAACCCACCTCTTTAAGTTTTGTATTGATTCAAATGAAGCATTTTGATACAATAGCCCCCATAGACCTGGGTACTAGGTGTTAAAGGCTAATATGGCAGCTTTTCAACATTGTGCGTGTAAATTTAAAGTAGAAATAAAAAATAATTTCTCACGGATATGTTTTCTTTAGATTAAGGTGTTTTGAAAATGTCATTTCAGAATTTAATATGAAAAATATAAAATGTATTTGAAAAATGCATGCTTAGAAGGGGTTGAGAATAACTCCCATACATGTACCCATATACATGTATTAAATAATTAAATTAATTTTGTTTTGGCAGATTTTTACCACACACATTCTTATTAGAGTTCATTATAAATAATTGAGGACATAAGTCAGTCATACATTGCATATTAGGCAAATGGAAAGATTGGCCTGACTCCCTGGGATACCGCTGCCTTGTTTTAATGTTTATGGGCCATGAGTTTGAAGTTAAGTACTGTCACGCAGTGCAACTTTATGATATTTCATAAAATAATTTCGAACAAATTTCAGTTTTCAAATGAATATCACACTGGGACAAAAAGTATTCAAAAATAAATTATAAGGTCTTGTAAGGTCTCGGATGAAGAAAAGAACTAATTTCTATTTCTCTTTTATTTTCAACAGAATTCCAATAATATGAGTCTACTGTGTGAACTGGGTATGGTATAGGCTCCATGAAAGCTCACAGAGTAGGGAGATAAATTAATCAGGCTTTAGTTTTTTACTTCCATCTCATCACTACATCTATATTTCATTCCAATACAAAATATGTGTATATTCATGTTGATTAATATGAACGTTGTCCATGTACGTCATTTGTTATGAATAAATAGATTTTGTATATTTTAATATAAATTTCTAGGCCAGACCCCTCTCATCTAAGGGGGCTATCCCCTGCCCCCATATGCCCCCCCCCCCATGTCTGCTGAGCAACAATGGATTATCCATCTTATATTTCCATAGTGACTTTAAGTATAATTTCTCTGATGGAGTGTTCAAGGAAAAATTCACAAAAAACTTCCTCAGAAATAATCTGTAAAATAAAACATAAATTGATTGGTGATGTGAGATGGTCCCTAACTTGGCATGGGTCTCAATGCCCACTGCGATTGGTTGATAAAAAAGTGACGTCACTTGAGTGCATGTTTCGAGTTGAGAAAGAAGGGAACAGCAAGTGGTCGCCTAAAAACGTCTGACAGCTAGTTATTAGCTTAGTTCTTGGAGAGTTGGTCGCATGTAAGAGTGAACTGAGCTGAGAACAACAATTTGGCACGCTATCTTTGTAGTATAGGCACACACAGCACAAGTAATCACCAAATTACGAACCATTGCACCGAAGAGAAAATCACATTTTCACAGCGGAATTGGCCGGAACTCCATACGAATTTAAACATAGTAGCCAAAATTTGTGACAATTTGCCACAATGACAACGATTCAAGTCTCCGGAGGATTGGACACGCAGGCTGCAATGAGCCTAAGCACAAGCATGGATTCTGTAAATACTGTTCCCGATGAAGAGGTGAGCAATGTTTACATTACAGATTTTTTTCAGTGTACACCATAAATCAAATCGGCCTGTCATTTTATCATATAGAAATCAAGCTTGGTTTTCCAATTAGTTCCCATTGCCTTGTTTTGGAAACTGAAGTGAATTACGATTGGATTTTTCTGAATTTTTTCTGCATGACTCTTAGCAAGACAAATGGCAAAAATAGATTGTGGATATTTTCCTTTCTAACTCTGTATTTGGCCTGAGGTTATTTTTCTTCAGGATAATGATGTACATCTCCGATCAATGAAACTCTGTTCCTTCGTAAATGGATCTCCATATAGGCCTATTCTCTGTAAGTGGAACACAGTAAAGTGATATGCTAATAACATAGATTGTACTAAAATTCTCCTCAGATTTTTCATTATAATCAATTATTATGCCATTATCCTTTTATAATCATCATAAATCTGTAAAATACATCCATTAAAATAGATATTATGAAGGCATACTCTGAAGTCACAATAATCCCCTTTTGGGTCATTGGTTTATGGTTTGTATTGAAACAACTTATTGCTTGTTAAACTGCTCTGCTCTGATGGTCATCCCAATACAAGTGACATTTTGGAAAACAAATTTTGTTGAATTCAGTCAAATTTCAAACTTGAGTGTATGTTTATTTAGTGTAATATAAGACGATCCTACACATCACAAGTATATAACAATGCTAGGGGATAAGGTGTCTTAGGGGGATATAACAAGAAAATCTGTTGATCTATCTTGAACAAAACTTTGGATTAACTTTGATAAGTGTTAAATCTGAAAGCAAATATGTTGACTATACACATTGAGAAAAGGAACAGGACTAAATCTCCCATTGCAAACATACTTAATCATTTTATCTGTGAGATAGGGAATAGGTCAAACCTTATGTTAAACTAGACCTAGTAGACTAACCCATTGATTGGTTCTTTATATTATGTGGCTATAGAAATTTCAATATGCCTCAAAAACCTATTTGAATGCTAGCATTGAAAATTAAAACCCATTAAATTTTGACATGAATTTGAGTGAGTTGAATATATCGAAAGCTTGTGATGAATGTGTATATGTACAGATGTTGGTTGTTAACTATGGGGAGCCTTCATATATTTATGTCATTCTCATGGCTGCTTTAAGATGAAAAATAACAAAATGTGTCTAAATTAATACTTTTTATACTGCCCTATATGCCATTCAAAGCTATGTTTACATTGTAGTGCACAATAACTGTATATAAATCATTTCATTACAACTATTCATGGATAAATGTTTGCCACTAAATCATCTATTTTATTTATCAACTGAAACATATTTGGAAATTGAAAATGTCATCTTCAAAATATATATAGAATATAAATAAGACCTGAATATGAGAGAGTATATGATATACAGCCTGAGGCTTTGAGTAGTGAGGATGGTTGATTAGCAGTGCCATACACTTGTTACTGCGGTTCCCTTGCTCTGGATCATACACAGTACATCATATATTCATACATTCACTTGCCGAAACATCCACCCTATAATTTCTCATTTCTACCCCAGTAAAACAGTCTTCAGAATGTATTTACGACTAAGCAAAATGCCTCATTGATTTTTTTGAATTTCCTGAGGAATTAATATTTTATAATGATATTTCCTGAGCCTTGATGAGTTTTCTGTTAAGGTGGTACATACACATATACAACCCATATAACCTGATGTGGGATCTCAAGTATCACCGCTCAGGGATTCTTTTTCCAATTACCTGACTTTGGCTGTATACCATACCGTCTTAAACATACTGTAACAATATTAAACCTATCCCTGGCATTGTTAAATAGAGACCATTGCAGCCCACCAGCGATTTTTTAGCTTCAAAGTCTAATTTTAGTACGACAACAAGAGCTACCTGTTCGGTATTTGTTGTATCTTCAAGGAGCAATCAAGAATAAGTTAAGGGCAAGAGCTAGATATATTTTAATATACAGTACCTAGGTAAAATATATAACTGGAAATTGAGGGATATAGTATTTCAGAATTTAATTCAAACTGACTAAAATCATTCATTATTTTCTCATGTTTTGGATCAATTTTTCCTCATTATTTTTGAAATTGAATTTAGGTGAACATTGGACATATATTCCTGAGAGATGTACATGGCTTGTACAATTATTGGAATGTTTTCTAATATGAATTGGCAAGGGATGTTATCGCTAATAGAGACATATAAATTGTTAATCAAGTCTGCTTGGAGACACAGGTGGTATAAAGTTAATACATCTCCCTCTTTCTCTTTGTCATACAGAGGCATACACCATTCTATTTGAATTGCAAGAAATATGATCTGAAATACCCATTCTCAAGATTTTTCATTTATTCATTATGGATTCATAGGGCCTTGCACAGTAGATGTGCCAACCTCCCAAACACTTCGCTCTGCCAATAATTACCTTCGTTTAACCACGCTAAAAAATATACTTGGCTTTATTTTAACAGAGATCATCGATCTCATGTTGAGATCCACTTTTCACCTGATGAGTAGCTGAATTGTCCTATATTAGAAATCTATATGCTGGCTTGATTGAACACTCTCCCATCCCAAAGTTTGGCAACACAACCTCCACATTTAACCATGTTTTAAATGCTATTTATGTTTTAAAGCATTCATCAAATTTGTGATATTGTAAATGAAGAAAAGAAATTCAAATATAATTTAGATTTAATAGCCTTTAACATGGTATTTAATAGGATATTATGATTTCCAACCTTTTAGAGGGGGTATTTGTACATCACTTTATAACAATGCGCTAGACTTTGGACTGAAGTTTTGTCAATTTTTGCAACTATCACAATAGTATCTTTTTGTATGATGTAGAGTTATCTTAATCAACATATGTTTTAAGTGCTACCTTGATATATATTACCCGAGATTTCAGGAAGTGGAAAATGTTCTAAATTATTATACAAATACTTATTTGAATTAGATATGTGGTATTCTAACAAGTCTATGTTAATAGGTGCACCAAAACCATATTCTGCGATAACCTTGATTTATCATTTTAATAGAATTGAGACCTATATTTTGAGTTAGCTTTAAATGATAAATATGGACCTTTGGGAGAATGAAACTAATAAATGGCAATAAGCGTATTTTGTATAAGATCTCAGCTTGATGTGGCAAAAGCCAGCAACTGCTAATAAGGACAAAATCGTGTTTCATCCAGCTTGTTTTTGGTCATGCAGTCATATAGGCTTAATATTAACCATTTAACTACCAAATCATACATTTCCAGTTATTAACCCTTTCAAACCTAGCATCATTAACTTTGAGTATGAAGAAAGATCTCTAAATAGATATGAAGTTGAACTTTTCTTGCAAATAGAATCAAGATAGGTACCTAAGTCAGTGTCCCCACGTGATAGTGAAATCTATGATTTCTCATGCTTCCATTATTTTTTAATTTATTGTTGTATGAAACGGCGATATCGTGACATAAGTTACCATGCATTTTCTATATTACTAGATCACGAATGGCTTATATGCAACGACTTAGGTTAAGAACCTATTTTATTAGGAAATATCTATATTTTCTATCCCATATTAGCCTATGGATAAGATCAGATCAGTTCTTATAGAAAATCCTATTTTTCTGTGTAATCATATTGACAGCGTCTTCTTCATAATCAGGGTTACGGATCAGACAACTTTTCTTGCATTAGGCTGCAAAGAAGATGTATTGCCGTATTACGTCTTAAGATCAGGCAAAGTTTATTTATAATTGGGAAAAGTTACATTGAATGTTTTCTGATCCGTTTTATTCATCATAGTAACTCCTCATATGGGTTTTAACATAAACCAGGGAAATACAATGAATTTAAGAGGAAATGTATGCAAGTATGTAGCTAGATAAGCAAGCCCATCTTAAGATATATAACTTAATGAAAGACTCAGTAAGTACATATCTCCTAATAGGTGATTATATTTTATAATTTTCACCATTATGGTTGATTTACGACTCTCTGATTGTTCCCCCTTTTTATTACACATCAGTAAAGGACCACAAGGGTACATGTGCAACCCTAGCTTAATAAACAATTGGCTTCCCTCATTGATTTTTTAAACCTCCCTTGTGATACTTGCTTGTCCAATAATTTCTTATCGTCTACTCCCCAAAGGCAAGTCAGCAGATCAAACTGAATGGTTAAAGTAACCATTTTATTGAATGAGAAATTATTTTCATGCAAAACTTTGATATTAATTAATATAGTGTACTAGGACCAAATCCAAGCTTATATTCGATTGCACATTTATTTCAAACCTCTAAAATTAAGATATTTTGGAAATAAAAGAGAAAAATATTGATAAATTCAAATCCAGATGGATTTAGAACATACATGTAGACCAATGATGGCCTGAGACCTGTTTTCCCATTATATGATTCTATATGATATAATGTTTGAATTGTAAAATATCAGATTTCAGTTTTCATAATTGATACTGGCATCTCATGTAAGGATGTAGAATATGTGAATTTTGACTTTTGTGAGATGGCATTTGTAATTCATCTGTTATGTAGAGATATTTATTATTTACACCTACGATTAACTTACAAGCATCTGGTTTCTCTATTGTCTACATCACTAAATAGGGGATCACCAGATTATAGAGGCATCAAATTGCATATAAATGTAGCATTTGTATTATTATCACTGGGAATATAGATTTATCATCTTTATGTTGTAGGAGACAGGCAAGCATATGTTTACTCCCATCATGATGATTTTGAGATTAATGTCAATCCCCGGCTTGTGATTTGTCATGTAATTAGTGAAGGCTCATGGGATATCACCTCTTTTGAATATGAAAAGTGTTGGACAAAATTATCAATTTGAGAAATTCATTTTTTTAAATATTTCTTTGTTTTTATGTTATAAGTCACTGCTAAAATGTTAAAGTAACTGTGATGGACCATCTCTTTAAATTGTAAATAACAATTTTGTCAGTAATC